AGTGACAACGATCAAAATAGTGAATTGTCAACTTTGGGAGATGCCAAACTGGGGACAGGGGAGGGGAGAGGGGGTGGGCAAGTAAAAAAACACAACCAAAATTTTTTTTTAACAATTTGATTGAGTACATATTTATTTATCTTTCTTTCTTGGAAAATTCTTTTAAATGGTTAAACTACAAGCCCTGATCTTCTAGTGCAATCTGTCGTAGCTCAAAACAAAACCAGGCATGAAACAATGGGAGCAGATATTGGAATGTGGGGTGTGGGAGAGCATTTACTAGAATTGGGATCAGCTTATTAGAAAAGTGGTGATGAAAAGAGGTGATTATTGGAATAGGAGCATTCATTGCAAAATCACTGATGTACTATTATGGAGGCATCTTATTGAGGAAGTCTTACCCTAACTCATCTGCATCACTGATCTGACCAACCTTACCTGAACACTATGTCATCCAAGGCAATATCACTGTATTGTCTTCTTCCTTTGGCTGCGGTAAATCGTACGGCAACAAGTCCTTCATAAACCTGAAAAAGAGTTTGAAAGGAAGGTAAAGGCATGTTTCAAATTGCTGTATTAATTTGTATTTAGCTATATCATGTATATTTAATGTAGGAACCATGCATGTGAATACTGTATACCAAATGCTGGTACCTCTCACAAAATATTTGAGTATTTTTATCAAATCACTGGGTATTATGTATCAGTTAAGCTGGTAGGCTAGATTTCTGCCACTCTCTCGAGTCCATTGGCTCCTTTCTGCCTGAACAACAGCTGGTTATCAAGACTATTTTCATAGGCTTAACAGCTGGCTGTTTCACAGCAGTTTAAGCTTCTAGCACTATAATTTGCTGGTAGAATTATATTCTTTTGAACCAAATGTAAATTAGCCTTGTCCCTAGAGTAAATTAATTATAAAAGTAATAAATAATAATATAATACCAGTAATGGAATGACAAAATCATTTTGCTAATAAATATAAAGAAAATATTGAAAAGTTCTCATTGCATAATAAAGGATAAATGTGATCTGCATTCTTAGATAAAATAACATTTTTTTATATATGTTAATATTCTCATTTTGCAATTTCCATAGGGTTCAGGGCTAATCAATTTTTGTTTACATACTATATTATTTTTATAGGCATGGGTTTGACAGACATGTAATGAATTTCAAACTTTCTTTGTGAACGAAATTATGTAACAATCATAAACAAGGACGTAAACCTCTAAAAATAAATTTAACACTTTGTCCTTTCATTAGTTTTAATGAGAATACTTGAATTAAGCATGGATAACCCAAATCATGATATTCTTAAACTTATCACTTAGTTTCAATAATTTTTTCCAGGAAAATACAAGCCTTGTAACAAACCCAAGATGTAAAGTTCTGTCAAACATGAATATTTTATCACTAAAACTGAAAACAATTTTGACACCTGCTTCTATTCTTAAGCCCTTACTCCAACTGTGAGCTGATATATTCCTAAATTCTCTTTCTAAAAGAACATAAAAATACACCAGAAAAGTTAGGAGAAATTATTTTCTGTTGAAATACTGAAATATTTAAAACCCTTCTAACAAGTTTAACCAATAAGAAAAATGTAAAATTTTTCCAGTTGTTTTTTTTTTTAAATTAAAAATGAAGTGAATTTTCAGTGACAAAATCTAACAAATATTCTCAAGTACAATCGTGTTGGTGTAGAGTTAAATAAGGTAAGTGCATACAAGAAATGTTCTGTTTAAATTGTATTTCTTCACCAGAATACTTCAACAAAGTTATCGCTCTGCTGATATCAGTTGAATGAATTGTTTAAACTTATCCTAAAAGTACACACAACAAAATATCCATGTAAATGTGTTGGATGTTTACACTCTGATAATTGATATACATTTAAAAATTTTCATCCTCAAATCTATGTTTTATCTATGATCTATACTTTTTATGTCAGCAGTCCTTCATAAAATTTAAGAACAACATTAATATAAAAGGAAATTTAACAGTAAATTATGACCATCTAAAGGTATACAGAGAAATTTCTCTTTAATTTAATATATTTTTTAAATGACAATGCTAAATAAATATTATAGCTAGGGTGAGGAACAAGATACTGAAGAGTTAAAAATAATCAAGCCCAAATTACTAGGGTCATTCCTTCTACGTAACAAGAATTTACGTATTTGACGATAATATTATTTGAAAACTAGCAAATACTTTTAGTCAAGAGTAAAAAATTGTCATAAGCTATTCAGAAGTAGCTCCACAATGAATATTTACAAAATTTAATCATTTGCTTAATAACTTATGCCTTAAAAAGTAGAGAAATGAAAAATGTATATTTTATTTTTCTTGTCAGTTGTATCATGTCCTCAAGAAGCTATCATTACTCGAATAGTGAAGTCTCTGGCAACAAATCTGTGGCACACAGTAACTCTTGCACTAGGACATCATACTGTGATAGCTGGTGCAGTGAGAAACGAAACATACAGAGAAAACAGGCCAATAGGAGTCCTGCCTCAAGGGGATACCCTGCAGAGTGTATAGGTAATTACCTCTCAATGCTGTGATTGGTCAATTTTACAGGTATTTTTTTTTTTGCCAACATCCTTGAAGATTCCCATAATCATATAAACCTTAACTAAAGGGTGGTAAAGGGTATTTTTGTGACTCGTGATCAGTCCTTTTTTTTTCCCGTGAAATGTGAAATGGCTAATTTTTTCCTCGTGAATCATGATTTCCATAGTTGCCGTGAAGCGTGATTTTCCAAAACGTTCTCTTTTATTTTCCGTGAAGCGTGAAATGCCAATGTTGTATTTTTCGTGAATTGTGAAAGGGCTGCTTTATTTTCCGTGAAACGTGATCTATACCCCCCCTTTTACCACCTTCGCCAATTCTAACTTCAGAAGAACTCAAACCAGTTATGTTCACCTTTCCATTGTTAATACTGTATGTACTGATTGAAGTTTCAATTTTTTTAAAAGTAATATCTGCATTTCTTGATGAACGGTTGTTTACAAGTTCAATTGTGAGATATCTGTTAAGACTTCACTCAAGTTTAGACCAGTCATGAAATCTGACCCTACCCTATCAATACAGCCATCCCATTCATACAGCCAAATTTCCATGGCCCATTAGTGACTGTATTAACAGGGCACCACTGTATACAGAATTAACCATAATTGAATACATCATGTTGTAGAATTTGATGAGTTTTCAACCCAAGGAGACAACAAAGCTGTTAGATATAGAACAGCACATCTTCAATGGCTCCTGGACAATGATGTATACACACTTAATGGCATGAACAAGTGGCAGCCGGACCTGCGTCGTTGGACACCCAGTAGCAGTGCAAGATATCCATTGAGGATGAAGATACCCAAACCACCCATTGATCCAGAAACACGTAAGCTCATTATATTTTACTTACCGTAAATCCTCGAATTAGCGCCCGGGGCACTTATTTCAAATTTAGGAGAAGAAGGGGGGCGCTTATTTAATTCACCCCAAATCATGGCCTGACATGATCATTTTATAATACATCATCTGCACGTAAACAACAACATGAGCTGTTTATTGACATAAAAAGCTGAACCTAAAGTTTAAATCATGGCACCATTAGTACTTAATGTCTTCAACGTGTTCACAAGCTGAAACAATGTAAAAATCTAATACTACATGACGAAAACTGGACATCCTTTGTTGTCTCATTACTTGTCCACAAAATTGGGGTGAGGAGGTGCTTATTTGAGGGGGAGTGCTTATTTTAAATTTCAGCCAATAGGAGGGGTGCTCATTCGAAGGGGGCGCTTATTTGAAGGGAGGTGCTGATTCAAGGATTTACAGTAACCATGTTTTGCAAAATTTGTCTGGTTATGAAATTCACCCCTTATCAGTCTTTCACCTCAGTCTTTCATCTCTTTCCAAAACAAAATAAAGTAATAACAATACCTTTCAATAACAGTGACAGTGATGATTGATATGACGACAAAAATTAAATGTGTTGTTACAGAAAATACATCTATAACCTTCTGGCCCTCACAGAAGATTTCTTGGTTTCAACCCCCACCCCTTTGGAAATGTCATTTTAGCTTCATATCTTCTCCAAAACGTGTTGCTTTGAACACCTCTGTCAGTCCCTAAGGATTTCCGATCACCTTTTCTGGGATGGGTCTGGATTTTATTATCTCCTGATACTACACAAATGATTGATTAACAGCAATGAAATGAGCCTGAGACCATGTTTACATGGGTCTTTGTGACTGATAATAACGACAAAAGACATTCTTCTAGCATTGAGACTAATAATGTCGTGAGAATTTCGTGTGAAATTAGTTCAGCATATTTATTCGCTAATTCGTATTATCGAACTGAACAGTGACAGCTGTATTTCATTTGAAGTCAGAATTAATTAGTTTGTATTCCAGTTCAAAAAAGAAATAATTGGTTTTGGTTGCCATTCTGTCCAACCACTATACTTGTTTTCCAGTGTCCCTACTCTTTTTAATAATTATTTTTATCAATACTGAAATTACTTATCTGTACAACAAATTTCAACTTATTTTCCCTTAATGTAGTGCCGGAGGATTCTCAAGTTCATATCTATCACAGCAAAAAGGATTGGCTATGGGTAAAACGATGGCTAAGTGGAATGCTGGAAGCAAACAGATATAATGTCACCACCATCAGACAGGCACCAACAAATACTTCAAGGATGATCCTTGTTTTCACACCAGAGCTGGTTAATGAGCCTTTCTGCCTTCAGATTCTTGATGCCATTGAAGGAAAGACAGTGCTTGGTATTAAACTCAGGGATTGCAATGTCCCAGAGGAAATTTTAAATGAATGCACCAGCTACATGGACCTGACCACAACTGATCTCAGTGATTTGACTTTTCATAATACATTCATGTTCAGGGTAAAGAAAGCCCTTAAACTACCTGTGTCTATTTGCTCAGCATAAGATTGCATTGGTTACAGGTACCTCCATAATACTGAACAATAAATACCAGACAGTTTTCCTCACCTGGTCCCCAAAGAACCAGAATTAATGTGTTCTCAACCTCTATCACATGGGCACCTTCATAATATTGACACTTAGCTCTGGCCCTTTGGTGTCTGTATTAAAGAGTCACCTGTGTTTAAAGGTCGGCACACACAAGGAATTTAAGGGGAGTAGTCCCTGCGACTAGATTTTGAAGCAAAAATGGCCAGTTCATACGATGCGACTTGTCCCCGCAACTTGTTGCAGGGACTAGTTGCAGGGACTAGTCCCCTCATGCGAGCCAACCTTAAATGTCCACTTCTGCGAAGTATGTTACTTGTTAACTGAAGACATCATCGTCATCATCTTTTTGCCACAATAAAAAACATACAAGGATTTGAAGATTTTGTATACCTTTTGTTATTCTGTAGTCATGATGCCAAATTCCTGATCATGCCACTCCATCTTCCTAAGCATTTTTTAAGGGGAATTCTAAGATACCCATGGTCAGAAAGTGTATTTTCTTCAGGTTTCAGTGCGTGTTTATATAAAGACTTCTGAAGTTGCTTATAATAACTCAGGGAAGTCTGAATTTATTCTGTGTTAGGGAAAGTTGATGTTTTTGGAATTGGTTGGAAATGAGAAAATGATCAGGATCGGGTTGTTCAAAGCCCAATTAAGCTAATCCAGGATTACCAGGAATTTTGACTTCAGTTTTGCAACTTTTCAGTGAGGTTTTCTCTTTATAATATTGTTTGCCCTTCACTCTTGAAATTGAATAATCTCCAACTAAGCAAAAAACAAGCAGTGAAAAACATTTTTGTACAAGAAAAATAAGAACTTTGGTTAACTTAAAGACAGAAGGACATTTAGATAGTAAAATTGAAATTTTTATCACATTGATTCATTGAAATCTTATTGCACACAAATAAATGGAAGGAAAAGCCACTTCTATATATTGATATGTTATTTTCCATTTATTTGGTCGTGGAAAGTTTATATTCATCTGCAGGTATAAGTGAGGGGAATTTCAGAGACTGATTTCTGTGGCAACTACAATTAAGAATAGAGGGGGGGGGGTTGACACCCCTTAGAAACTGGTATTAAAAGCACTGTGAGTGAAATCATACTACTGACGCAGATTCTACAGGTATGTACCAATATTCCGAGAACATGTTGCAGCTTGAGGAAATTACTAGAATTTCAGACTTTCAAAAATACTAGTCCTCATTATCTACACTTCTACCAGACTGAGTGGAGAACTAAACGATTTCCAATTTTTTTTCATTTTGTAAGACACTGAATGAATCCCAGTGGGGGAGCTACTCCCATATTTTGTTATATCGACTTAATGAAAACAATTTGTCAATGAGAAAAAAATTATCCTTACCGAGAGATCAACAGTTCCTTGATGCCATGTGTTGCCTTGATCTCCAGCCTTCCAGAATACCATGAACCATGTTTTATCTACTGTTTTTATCTCTACACTTAGGGTTCCCATGGAATCACCATATTTTGAACGATCAGACATATGGTAAAAGAAACTTATATTGCATCCTTCACCAGCAGCGAACCAGGGTGTCTCAAATGATGCCTGGCAAGGAAAAATAAAGAATGCGTCATCAATGAAATAATATTTATTACCAGTACATTCCATAAATTCCTTTATATCATAAGAGAGACCACGGTCTTTGACTGTAATTATACAACCTATTGAAATTAAGTGTCATTTGTTCATTATTAGAACAGAGATAGTAAGCAGTAGTTGCCACCTAAAATTCATTAATTTTATGCATGAGACAAAATAATACTGGAAGAGGTGGCCTAGAAAACTGCTAGGAGAGGAAACTTTGACAGGCATAAAATAAATACAAAATGTAACCTAACAGCCATGTGTTAATGCAAAAATATTGCATGAATATGGTAGCAAAGAAAGGTAAATAATTTTTGTTTGTTGCAGTTTGTACACTATCTTCAGGATGATCTAGAAACCAGAACATATAACCTTAATTTTCCAATTTTTATGATGCATTGAGTGGCTCACTTAAATTTTTAGAGATAAACCGGAGAAAAAAAAATCCTTTTTCTTACATTCACAGGCAAGACACTTCACTCTTGATGTACATGTATGACCACATCTCTCCACACAGGAGTATAAAAATGGGCTAGTCTGAAGTATCAAAAAAGGTAAAGTCTGCATACAAGCTTTGGCCCATCATCTCTGGTTTCTGTAGCATGAAGCAACTAAGAATATTTCTACTCCCCCTGAATGGGATGCTAGTCCATCGCAGGGTTGCCCCCAGCATTAAATTTGATAGTAACCATTTGTACACCTGGGTGGAGAGAGGCACTGTGAGAGTTAAAAACACAGCACAATGTCCCCAGCAAGGGTTCGAACCCAAACCCCTTGATCCAGAGGCAAGTGCACTACCCATGAGGCCACTACCACAGGTACTGACAAATTGTACAGAAAAGCAATCTAAATGCTACTAGCTAGTCAGAGGTTAACTGTAATGGGAAGGCACTCATCAATTTGTTGATTTCAGAGCTGCAAAATCACGCCTTGCTTTAAACAAAAAGACATACCCTACTTCCAATGGCTATTCCTGATGCTTCCAAATATCCATAATACCCTGAGCCTGTTGAATGGTCAGCTGTAGGTCCAGTGGATTTAGTTGGAGTTTTTTTCTCAGTTATTTTCCAGTCCTTGTCATCATCTTTAGACTGCATTAGAATTCCCAAATCAGGGGCCCCACTACCAAAGTCGATTGGAGCCAA